TCTGGACATCTCCACCTGTTCACTTACCGCACTCACCTAGACCTCAGCCTGTCAAAAAGTGAACCCATTGTTCCCTTCATGCTTCCAGGTCCTCATGCTTACAACCTGCTCCTCCTTTGGAGCCTTTCCAGATCAAGCCCTGCTTTGCTCATTCTGCCTCCAAGATTTCTCCTGTTTGTCCCCTTTTCTTCTTCACCATCTTTGCCCAAGTCTAGACCTTTACAATATTCTGCCTTAATTTTTGCTGCAGCTTCCTGACTGGTCTCTCAGTAGACTGTCTCTTCTTATCCAATCCACTTCCCAGCTTGCAGCCCAATTACCCTTCTCTGGGGCACTTCACAGATTGTTCACATCTTTGCTTAAAAAAGTGTTTTTAATCCTTTCATGGCCCCCTAGTCCTCACAGAATACAATCTAAATTCCCTACTGTGGGTTCAATACCTTTGCAATCTGGCCCCAATTTCCCACCCCAAGTGTATCTCAACCTCATGAGCTATTCAATTCGGTCATATTTGCCCTTCTCCAGACAGATCCAGTGCTTTCCCATGTTCCCACCTTCACACACACACACACACACACACACACTGCTTGCTCTTTACGGAATACCTTTTTCTATTTTTACATGACCTCAAACTGGACATCCTTCAAGACCTATCTCTAATACCTCTTCCTTTCAAGAAACCTTTTTTTTTTTTTTAATTTTCCCTTTCTGACACTCCACAGGAGTAATCCCTCTCTCCTGTGACCTCTCATAGCCACTTCTCATACTAGCTTATCTTGCAACGTATTTTTCTACTTCTCATTGGAGTTATCTATATGCATGTGACTTGAAGGAGCTCTGGTGGCTCAGTGACTAAGGCATTTGACTGCTAACTAGAAGGCTGGTGGTTCAAACCCACCAGCTACTCCATGGAAGGAAGATGGGGGCAACCTACTGCCTTGGAAACCCAATGGGGATTACTATGAGTTGGAATCAACTCGATGGCAGTGAGTTTGGTTGTTTTTTAAATATATATGCATGTGCCTTATTTTTAGAGAGGTGCTCAGTTCCCTAGACTCGTCTTTCTGTTTTCTACAGGGCCGATCACAGAGCATTGTTCTGTGTGCATTGCAGAATAAGTGCTCAGAAATGATTAGTTGAATGGATAGATAAAACAATGCAGGATGGGTGAGTGGGTAGGTGGATGGATGAATAAACATTTGCCCTCTAGGGCTAAGCCAAGTGTATATCTAGTTTGACAATGGTTATTAACAAAGTAAAAATGAAGAGTGAGAGGCAGCTAGCTACTAGCTCTTCAAATATGTACTAGAATTTATCTGGATCCTCAGTTGCCTAGTTGAACGCATTATAAAACCAAAACCCACTGCCGTGGAGTCGATTCCCACTCATAGTGACCCTATGAGTATTGCAACCAAAAAAATTCAAACTCACTGCCATGGAGTCGGATCTGACTCATAGGGACCCCTCCTTGGGTTTCTAAGGCAGTATTACTATGGAAGTAGATTGCCCAACCTTTCTTCCAAGATGAGCATTGCAAAATAAGTGGTAAAAAGGCAGGGGAAGGATGAAGCTCTGGAGTGGAGTCTTTCCATGAGCACCAAATACCAACTGTGACTCTGATGGTCAGAGTCTTGTCTTGGAAATGTCATAGACTTGAGAATCTGTCTGTCCCTACTATACACCTGATGCAGTACTAGGTACTATGAATCATGCCAAAACTGAAGACCCAGTCATTTTCAGCTCCACAACTCTGCACAAAATAACCTCCCTGAGCCTCAGTTTCCTGATCTGTAAAAAATGGGTCTATCTTATCCTACCTTATAGGGTTGTTGTGGAGATGAAAAAAAAAATAATCTTGTAAAGTGCTCATCAAGTACCTTACATATATGAGCATTCAGAAAATGATAGCTATTGTTGTTGCCCTCCCAAAGTGAGCAGTCAGTCTAGTTAGGGAAATCTAGTGTTAAGTTACATGGTTCCCTTTTTTAAGTCTCAGTGGAATTCAGAGAAGGATTTATCAGTGAGGACTAGAGCAAAAATGGCATGGTGGGGGCATCTGACCTCTTCTAACCTCACGAGGGGAGAGATAATCACCGTTAGCATCAGTTCAAAGCTGATTCCTATAGGAAGAGGTCAGACATATCTCCTCCCTCCAACCTTTTTACCAATTCTGACACTAGCCATATCTCCCATGGCACTCTCTACTTCTCTGCTGGGCTAGATAATTCATTGCAATGGCCTCACAGAACTCACAGGAAATATTCACACTTATGGAGTTTATTAGGGAAGTAACAAGTTATAAGTCAGGATCAAGAATGACTCAAGATATGGTTTTCTGGTCAGGTCAGCTTCTCAGCCATGCCCCAAAGCAAGTTACTCTCTGGTCCTTGGCCCCTCAGGTCTCTTGGGCCATAATAGCCTCTGCTCTGCTCGGGTAAGTGTTACAAAGCTCTTTAGCTCCACCAATAAGTGCCCATTCAGCTCTCTCACTTTGTGGCTGGGGAGCCCAGTATGCTGTCTCCTGCCAGTCTCCTGGTTCTGCTGCTGGTGGTTATTTGCTGCACTCGGCACCACTTCTGTTTTGCACCACCTTTGGTATTATAGCTCTCTGTCTCCTGGGTCTAGGTGGTTCTCAGTGCAGGGACCCTGGGTCCAAAGGATGTACTCCACTCCTGGCTCTTCTTCTTTGGTGCTAATGAGGTCCTTTCTGCCTCTGTGATGGCTTATTCCATACACCTTGTTTCCATGGTCACACTCCCACAAGAGTGCCATGCACCTTATTTGCATTATTAGCAAGCTGTCCAGTCCTGTTGGTGGGACACAAGAACCTTATTTGCATAACCCCACCCAACATTTGTTGTGCGTTACAAGACCATGTTGAGAAAGGCTATATAAAAGTGGCACATCGTATCACAATTAGAGTAGCAAGGGAGGCCACTCAGAGGAAGGAGCAGTTTAAGATGGATCTTGAAGGATGAGTGGAAGCTGGGAGGCAGAGAAGTAGGCAGAGAAGAGTGAACAGCATGTGCAAAAGCAGGGAAGTGGGAGCGAAGGCTGCCTGTGCAAGGAGTGGGTGACTGCAGTGGGTAGTGGTGGAGAGACAGCAGAAAAATGGTCTGATACAATGTAGCAGGTGGTAAGATTAGGAAGACCAATGACCTCAGTTTTTTGTGACCTTCTGTAGCAAGGAATGGCTACAGAAAAGCCCTCTTAGCTCCTTTGCCCTTGGGAAGATAGAAATAATAATTAACACTTTTCAAAGAATTTACAATGTTTTAAGTCCTTTACTGTAATAACATGAAATGCTCATAGCAACTCTGTGACACAGGTATTGTTGTTGTTATTTGCCCTCGAGTCGGCCCCGACTCATAGCGACCCCTCCTTGGATTTCCGAGGCAGTATCACTACGGAAGTAGGATTGCCCAACCTTCCTTCCGAGGAGTGGCTGGTGGGTTTGAACCGCCAGCCTTCTGGTTAGCAGTCAAGTGCTTTTAGCCACTATGCTACCAGAGCTCCTGACACAGGTATTAGTATTATCTATTTTACAGTTGAGAAACATGAGGCACAAAGAAGATAAGTATCTTGCACAAAACCACACAGCTTATGTATAGCAGAGTCAGTACTCATGCCCAGGCACTCTGGTCCCAAGTTCATGCTCTTAACTAGTACACTCTGCTGCCTCCTCTTCCTGTTCCTTCTGTAGTTGTCAGTCAGCTTTTTTCTCTTTGCCTTATTGTCCTGCTGCCACCACCACACTCAACAATCAGCCAGGAGTTCACGGAATGATTATTATGTGTCCAGTGGGGGATGGGGTGGGGGTGGGGCCACAAGGAGGTTGGAGGATTGCTAAGAGTGTTACAGATGAAGGAGATGGCAAGGGTTGTACCCCAAGGAACTCACAATCTAGTGCAGCAGGAAAGATCCAACTCCCTAGGAACAAAAAGAGCAGTGCCAGGCAGGATGACTACATTGGCATTGACTTGCAGTATAGTAGCACTTCAGAGAGGGTGGTCTCAGCACGGACATTCTGAGAAGACTTTGTGGGGAAGCTGGGATGTGGCCTAGGCCTCAAAGGATGTTTTATCATATGCCAGCAGATGAGACTGACTGCTGTCCAGGCAATAGCGATGAAGGAGATGTGGGTTCCCTCCAGGGTCCTCCTCTTGCTTCTTAGTCATGGGTTGAAACTGGGGCAGAGGCTGCAGCCCTTAACCCATGACCTGACTGCCTCACACCAAGGCTGCTGCTGCTTTTGGCTGCTCCTCCCCAACCCCACCTAGGTATTACTTAGTCTCTCTGTGCTAAACCTTCTTGGGCTACTTATCAGGGAGAGATGGCCAGTGGACAGTAGATTGAGGAGGAGTAGAGGTGAAAAACTCTGGTGGTATAGTGGTTAAAATATTCAGCTGCTAACCAAAAGGTGGAGGTTGGAAAGTATGAGCTGCTGCACGGGAGAAAGATGAGACACTCGGCTCTGGTAAAGGAGCAGCCCTGGAAACCCTATAGGGCAGTTCTATTCTGTCCTCTAGGGTCACCATGAGTCTGAATCAGTGTCTTGTTTTGTTCTTTTTGGACCAGCGGTTGAGGGACAGGGAACTAGTACAGAGCCAGGGAGGGGAGAGGCCTTGGGTCAGAAACAAGTATCCAGCCACTGGGGAAGGGCAGGTGTGACAAAGCAGGGTTTGTGGAAGCTGCCCGGGAAGCTTCTGTCCCCTGCCGTCATTTCCTTCTGAGCCAGAGAACAATGGCTCAAAAACAAGTGCAGCCCCTGCACTTTCCCGCCTCCTACACACACACACACACACACACACACACACACTTTCTCCCTGGCTGAACGAATGGAAAGCCTGAACCCAGTTAGGCCCGAGCTCCCTTCCGCAGGTCTCTGGGAGCGTCGGGGACTGCCCCTGCCCCCGCTCTCTGAGACCTGGAGCTCAACAGCCCTCTCAGGCACTTTGTCCCCTCCCCTTCTCCTTCCAGACCCTCCGCTCGGTCTGCAGCCAGAGGAGAATCACCGAGGGATGAGGACGCCACAGCTTGGTAGTACGCCCTTTCTGCTTTCTTGGTTCCGACTGCGCAGTGCCCAGGAGCAGGACAGAGCCTGAACCCTTGTCCTCTCCCTCCCTCACCGGGGTCTGCAACTGATCTGACCAGCGAGCTCCCTGCTGCATGGAACGGCTGCAGAAGGTGTGCGGGGGCTGCACCCACTCCCCGCGCAGGTGGGGTGCCTAGGGCAGGGGGTGATGGTGCTTGCATGCCCAGGAAGTATCAGCTTGGGAATCGAGGGTGCCACCTGGTGGTTGCCCACAGCGCAGCACCCCGGATCCCCAGAGGCCTAGGGAAGACCACCCAGCCCCCAGCTCCAGCCCACGTTCTCAGGCTTCTGAAGAGCCTCTGCCCCCGCCGCACCCCTCACACCCACGCATATACCCACTCTCCCGCCTTCTCACTCTCCCCAGCAACCACTTACCTCCCCAGGGAGCGTGAGCTCCTCCCGAGGCTCCAGTGTTCCCGGCTCTCCCTCCAGCATCGTGGTGAGTCCCCCTCTCTGACCCCAGAATCCTCAGTCTGGGAGGAGGGAGGGTACTCCTGGGCAGCTTCACTCTGAGCCTACAGCTGATGATCCTACCAGTGCAGGAAGGGAAGGAGAACCCAAAAATCCAGAGAAGGTTCTTCACATTTCCTTTCTACTGGTATGGTCTTTTTTGTTACCCAAATTGCTGGGTGAAGGACTTTTTTTTTTTTTTTTTTTATGGTGACAGTCTAAATCCTTAAAATACCAGAATTTTTAATTTATAAGAATTGACATCTAAAATGGCTGCTCATTTTCTTCTTAATAAATGATAAATTTGGCTTGTGAAGCCAGGATTCTATGGGAAGCTTTTGGCACATCTGTTCCATTAGTGCCATTTTCCTTCAGGCCAAGATGGACAACCAGGTGCTGGGCTACAAGGACCTGGCTGCCATCCCCAAGGACAAGGCCATCCTGGATATTGAGCGTCCTGACCTCATGATCTATGAGCCCCACTTTACCTATTCCCTCCTGGAACACGTGGAACTGCCCAGAAGCCGAGAGGTGAGGTGGGGGAAGGATTCCACCAGTCACACTGGTGGTAGATGGCGGACAGAATTCCTCTCATGTTTTACTTCCTGGAGGCAAGACTTAGCAAAACAAGAAAGGGAACTGTACATAGTAATCAATCAGCTAGTAAATCAAGCAACCAAGTGTTTGTGTGGCATGCATTGAGATAGCTCATGGTCAGAGTGTAGCTCTGAAAGAACAGAGCAGGGGAGGCTGTGTTCAAATGGCAAAAGCATAAAGAGCATGGCATGGGGAGGAAGGGTGAGAATAGGCAGAGAGAGCAAAATTTATGGAAAGAATCCAGGGAAACTGAACTCATAGGCTGGAAGTCCTAGCTGTGTAACCTGTGTGACCTTGTGGTTTCAGTTACCCTTCTTATAAAATAAAGGTGATACCTCTGCTCATCCACCTCACAGGGTGGTCACAATGCATGAGGTAATGCATGTGTACTTGTTGTTGTTATGTGCTGTGGAGTCGGACCCAACTCATAGCGACCCCTCCTTGGGTTTCCAAGGCAGTGTCACTACAGAAGTAGATTGCCCACGTGTAATTAGTAAATGGTATTCAAGAAAGGGAGTAGAGTCGTGGCTGGGCAGTGAGATGGGCCAGACAGTGGAGTGACTTAAATCACTGGCCAAGGAGCCTGTAATTCATCTTTGGATGTTTGCTGGTATTGTCCCTTCCATTAGTTCTTAGACTGTGAGCACAAGGCAATAGCTACTCTGCAGTAGACCCTCAAAGGACCAGGTACACTGCTCCAAGATCTGTGTGCTTCTTTATGCTTTAAAGAGAAGAATGACTTAGAACTTTGTCCAGGAGAATACTACAAAGAAGAATGGAAACCCAGCATGGAGAATTGGCAATGATCTATGAGAGAAGAGGTAGCCCAGGAGTTGGCCTGGAAAGGGTGTAAAGCTGGGTGAGGGATGAAGTGGCTACTCTAGGGTTCTAGGGATGAGAATGTAATCCTACCCTTGTGATCTGATCAGCTCCTCTCCATTCACAGCGCTCTCTGTCACCCAAATCCACATCCCCCCCACCATCCCCAGAGGTGAGTCTGCCCCATACCTGAAATTTGCCCAGCCCTGCTCTGATGGGGCCCCAGCTCCAATCCCTGTAAGTCCAGACAGCTCTGCATAGCCTAGGGGATATGACAGAATCAACAGACAGGACTTTTCTGGCCAAGGTATTGGTTGGACCTCATCCTGTCCACTGGCCAGCTCTGTATCCATCTGTCTGCCTGACCTAGAGCCTCATTTGATCCTTTTGCTCCCCGGGCCCAGCACCATCAGCAGGTCAAGACTTCCTCTGCCCTAGAGTTGGAGTGATGTAGTGTGCTAGTGTGGGAGGACAGAGATTGGTAGAGTGAGGTGAAGTGGTGTATATATGGTTTGCGGAGGTGGTAGGGTTGGGGACATGGGAACTGCAATGAACCACACTTCTGCTCCACAGGTATGGGCAGAGAGCCGGTCCCCTGGAATCATCTCTCAGGCTTCAGCCCCCAGAACTACTGGGACACCCCGGACCAGCCTGCCCCATTTCCATCACCCTGGTAGGTTTTACTGTCAGCATAGGTACATACTTTCTCTGGGTATTCTCTGGGTATCCTCCAAGAGCCTAAGCCCCTTATTCTCAGTGCCCTGCTCTCTGGGGTAAGACTCACCACAGACTTGGCGGGACCCTATGATTTCAGGACCCCAGTTGCTTCTTCCCTCCAACCAATCAGAAAAGTGCAGAAAGTCCCAACCCCTTGAAGGGTATTCCAGGAACTCTGATTCTGTCTTTGCTCTTGGCAGGAGCCAGTGAATTTCCTATCTTCTCCCATTCCATTTAGCTCCCTTCTCTTCACCCACTCAACCCCCTCTGCCACCAACGTACCTTCCTTCTCATCTCCTCTTGGTCCCTCTCCACAGAGACCTCCCACCCAGATTCCAACATCTACAAGAAGCCACCCATTTACAAGCAAAGAGGTGAGGATTTCCTCAACTTACCAGAGCACCCTTTCCACATGCTGGGAGACTTGTGGTTGTGGTTGTGGTTGCTGCGCTGGTGGGGAGGGTGATGGGAAAATAACTATACACAATAGTTGCCTTGTTCTCTTTCTTCTGCGTTGCTTTTATGCCCACTTTCTCAGAGATGTGGAGGGAGAAGTGAGAGAGTTGGGGGCTGAGGATGGAGGAAGAGTTGGCCTTAGGGGTGGGGTGCATGTGGGCTGACTCTGTCCTCCACTTGCAGAATCTGTGGGAGGCAGCCCTCAGAGCAAGCACCTCATTGAGGACCTCATCATTGAGTCATCCAAGTTCCCTGCAGCCCAGCCTCCTGACCCCAACCAGCCAGCCAAGATAGAAACTGACTACTGGCCATGTCCCCCATCGCTGGCCGTTGTGGGTAGGAGAAACTGTGGGGAGGTGGGGAAAAAGGGATGCCCCAGGACACTCCATCACTAACCTCCCCCTTGAAGACCCGTGAACCCACCCCCATCCTCATATACTTTTATCACCCTCTTGAAACTCAGCCAGTTCACAAAGAGCTCTTCCTCCCTACATTTCTATGGGCCTTGGTTTAAGTGGCTCTATATGTTAGTCATTCATTCACTTTCCATTCATCTAGATTACTCAGAAAACATTTATCAAATTTCTGCTATGTACCAGGCTCTGTGATGGGAGCTCTGGGAAAAAGAAAGATAAATGAGACAAACTTTTGGTCCCTAATGAATTTAAGTCATGTGTGTGTTACCTACCCAGTTTCACTGCAAGGCTAGGAAATATTATCCCCCTCCTTTCCCGCCCCCCCCAAATAACCTATAGTGTCCTCTTTAAGTCCAGCCTACTCCTGTATACAAAGCCAGCACTTGATAAATATTTGTTGAGCGACTGAATGACGCCTACTTTTGCTTGTGTTTCCTAGAGACAGAATGGAGGAAGCGGAAGGCATCTCGGAAAGGGGCAGAAGAGGAGGAAGAGGAGGAAGATGATGACTCTGGAGATGAGATGAAGGCTCTCAGGGAGCGTCAGAAAGAGGAACTCAGTAAGGTAGCATCTTGCTACCTGCCGCCCAACCTGTCTTTGTGGGGGAAAGTTCTGCTTCTATAACTAATCCAAATGGATTTATGCCAGAAAAATATCCTTGGTAGAAATGTGAGAAGTCCTGCTTCTTTCTCAGGATTTCAGTGTGCTGTTTTTTAAGGGACACCTGGACTTTATGCTGCATTTGGGGGAAAAAAGCTATTTGATATTAGGGTCTAAAGCACAGAAAAGAGTAGTCCTACTAGTGCCAGGCTTTACTAAGCTGAACAGAAGAAGAAGAAGAGGGAAGAGGGAAAAGGAGTGTGGCTTACTGATCTCAAGAGGAGGAGAGTGAGTGTGTCCAAATGCACTGTGGTGAAGCATCAGACAAGAATGAGAGGCTCCGTTGGCTCTGGACATACAAGAGCAAGCCACTTGAGAAACTCTGTCCCTAGTAGATGGCTTGCAAGGGCCTGTGTCCTGCTTGCAGTATCCCTACCTCTGAACATTTTGGAGATTTAAATGAGCATTTAAATCTTAGACTCATCTTCCTTTCCCCTTCCCCAGGTTACTTCCAACTTGGGAAAGATGATCTTGAAAGAAGAGATGGAAAAGTCATTGCCTATCCGGAGGAAAACCCGCTCACTGCCCGACCGAACGCCCTTCCACACCTGTGAGTGCCATACCTGTGAGGGGGCTCGGATCATCTAGCCAGACCCTGAGGCCAGTCTGTAGAATTTTTCATATGCCCAGCACTGTGTTACTATGGGTATGAGAGACATATAAGATGTAGTCTCTGGCTTAAAGCATTTGTACCCTCCTTAGGGAAATCATGATTTAAGTCATGTAACAACATTAAATAATAAAAGATAGTATCAGATAAAGCAGAATTAGAAAATTCAGTTTAGCCAAATTTATGGATTGTTGTTGTTGTTGTTATGTGCCGTCGAGTCAAACCCGACTCATAGCGACCCCTCCTTGGGTTTCCGAGGCAGTATCACTACGGAAGTAGGATTGCCCAACCTTCCTTCCGAGGAGTGACTGGTGGGTTTGAACTGCCAGCCATCTGGTTAGCAGGCAAGTGTCTTAGCCACTATGCTACCAGAGCTTCTGTAAAGATTTACAGCCTCAGAAACCCCAGGAGGAGTTGCTATTAGTATCCATAAATGCTTCTAGGCCCTGTATTAAGCAATGGGGACATAAAAAGTAAAAATACCATAGTCTTTGTTTTCAAGTAGTTTACAGTCAATGAGGAAACCTGATGTGGAAACTGGGGTTTCTTACAATGTAGCACATGTTCTGGTAGGGTTTCAGTGGGTGTTTGAGGATACAGTGTCAAAAGCCTGGGGTCAGAGGGTCAGGGGAAGCTAAACTGAGTCTTGAAGAATGAGACAAAATGAACCAGGCAAATAAATGGGGGAAAAGGGTATTGCAAATATTGAGAGCATATGGGAGCAAAGGCAGAGAATGGGAACAGACTAATCAGCTTAGAGACTCACTAGTCGTCTGGAATTAGCCCAGAATGTGTACCATGGAGTGGTGGGAAGTGAGGCCAGTGAGATGAGGTGGGCCAGGTTTTGAATGCTGGGCTCCTGGAAACTCAGTGTGCCAGCCTGAGCTTCCATAGAGTATGACAGAGCACATTGGGCCCCAAGAGGGAGCAATCAAGACCTCAAACATGGCAGCTGAAAGAGCTCTCAAAGTCTAGCACCAGAAGCCACACAGTGTTACTTCTATTGCATTCTGTTGGTCAAAGCAAGTCATGGGTCCAGCCTAGATTCAAGGGGAGGGGAAATGGATTCTACTTCATGATGAGGGAATAGCAAAGTTTCATTGCAAAAGGCATGCCAGATGGAGATACTGTCTTTGGAAACCATCTGTCATACTTCCTAGAACTCTAGATAAGGGCTAGAGATATATACAGGTCCACAGAAAAGGAAATGGGTTTGAGAAAGAAAATCAGGAGGACTCAGTGGTTAATTGGATGAGGGAAGTGAGGGAGAGAGGAGTAAGTCTTCTGTCTTGAGTAACTGGGTGATGACAAACCTAGACCTGTGATAATCCAAGAGGCATGTTTTCAGGGAATGAGGAAGACACTAGTTTTGGACATATGGGGTTTGAAGCACACTATACAGGATATGTTGTACATAGGGCTGCTATGAGTCAGAACCAACTTGACAGTGCCTAATAAATATGAGGATCTCTGGTGGCTTAATGCCTACGGCATTTGACTGCTAACCAGAAGGTTGGCAGTTCAAACCTACCAGCCACTCTGGAAAAGGAAGATTTGGCAATCTACTTCTGTAAAGATTTACAGCCTCAGAAACCCCAGGAGGGGTCGCTATGAGTCGGAATCAACCCGATGGCAGTGAGTTTTTAATAACAAATACAGGACATATAGGTGGGTACTGAATTTGGCTGAGTCAGAAACTTGGGGAAAGAATTGAGGTTAAAAGAGGGTCTTTAGCTTATATGAAGGACTTCTGGTGGTGCAGTGGATAATGTATTTGGCTGCTAACTAGGTCAGCAGTTCAAATCCACCAGCTGCTCCATGGAAGGAAGATGGGGTGATCTATTTCCGTAAAGATTTATAGCCTCAGAAACCCAGCGGAGGGTCACTGTGAGTCAGAATTGACTCTATGGCAGTAAGTTTGGTTTTGTTTTGGTCAGCTCATGTGTAGTAGTAAAACAATGAGAAAAATAAATGAGATTGTGCTGAGAGAAAAGGGAAGGGAAAAGAAGGGAAGAGCACCTAACTGTTTTCTGGAGAATACTCACATTAAAGATCCAGTTGGAGAGTTGGTTAGAGGGAGCTCAGAAAGGACACAGAGCCTCAGGACTCGGTGTCTGGGCTTGAAAGGAGGAAGCACTCTCACTCTCTGAGGGAGGGGACACAGATGTGGGTGTGAGCCTGCTTAGATCTGGGAGCAGTCCAGCTCAGAAGTTAGGGTTGTCTGTTGTAAGTAAGAGGAAGGCTTGGTGAGATTGGCAAAGGTTCAGAGTAACTGTGATGGGAAAAGAAAATGACTGTGGCTCAAGGCAACTTGCTCTAACCGAGATTCAAAACCACCTTCCATTTGTAGTGATGCTATGGCTGTAGATTTTCTGAACAGCTAGGGCAGAGAAGGAGATGGGTTGATCCAGGCTTAGCATTTTGTAAGAAAGGTGCTGAGGGACTGAGCTGCTGAGGGGAGGTGAAAGTGGTTAACGTAGCCAACCGTAGGATTGAGGCTGAGTATGTAAGGGAGGAAGGCCTGGGGACTGAGAAACTGGAGGTCTGCCTGAGACTGATGAGCAGGTGGAGCGGGAATGAGGCTGAGTGAAACAAAGGCCACAAAGTAGGATATCTGGCCTTAATATTTCAGGGATAAAGCAGTTGTCAGTGACAACAAGATCTAGAGTATGGCTGTTTGAAAGGGTTATCTGATGTGGAGTGGAGACGAAGGCCACTGGAATTGGGGGATTCAGGGAACTGTAAGGTTAACATGTGGCTAGGATATCCACATAGCCACTGAAAGCTCCCAGGATTATATTTTAGTATGGGTGGGAATAGTTCCAAAAGACATTTTAAGAGAGTGTAGAATAGTTAAGGCCTGAAGAATGAGGTTGCTGTAGGGATGCTCCAAAGATTGGATTCAGCTTTAATCTCCTACCAAAATTAGCTCTTTAACTTCCTTTTGGCTCATAAGGTTAAATAGCCAAATAGCTACTTCAGCATCACTATTGACATTTCTGAACCTGGGCATGATTAATTATCATGTGATTGCATGTTATCAGCCTATCTAATCAACCTTAATAATTTCAGAATTATGTCATTCTGATTTAATGGTAATACTAGAATAATCATCTTCAAACATTACTAAGCATTCTAGAAGTAATTTGAGTGAAAATCTTATGTGCTTTATAAGTTGATATTCTATCCATCTGTTGAAGTGGAAATGTATATTTATTATGACAAGAGAGAAATGCTTCAGTAATGAATGATGATTGTGAAAGCTTAGAATTTTCTATGCAAAAACAAGAATTGTTAGGGAAAAAAATGAGGTCCTGGAAACATATCTTGTCTTCACCAACCTTGCAAACAACAGATTTTATAAGAAGGCTTTAAGAAGATAGTCCGCTATGTTTTGAACCTATGGAAGCTAAACATTTCAATGAAAATGCCTGTCAAAACAGTTGCTATAAAATTCTAACAATTTCTAGTAATTGGAGACGAAGGGATCTTTGAAACTGCCCAAGCTAAGAATGTTAGGTACAAAGTTCTTTCACATTACTGAAAATAAATCATCATAAATTGTAATCTGCAGGGCTTAAAGGTTTAGTGATATTATTAAATGTGTAAATTGAAAGTGACAGCTAATGATGCGGATGTACAGCATATTGACTGCAGGTGTGATCTAGCTGCTGACAATGCTGAGGAAATTCTTGTTTATATTATAATATCAAACATTTAAAATCTGAATAACATTGTTAACAGTAAATTACAATACTTTAAAATCATTTTGATTAAATTTTAGATTTATTTATGTATCCCAGCGGGTTCGTTCTATGATGGAGATATTTGGCTTTGGCTGAATATAGACTGTAACACTCAGGCATTTGGCCCAAATGTGCACTTGCTGCATTTCTTGTTAGAGAGAAGGAAAAGGTGTTATAGACAGGTCAGAAGTGCCAGTACTGTGTCACTTGCTGAAGGTAATGGGTAGGTGCTGGAAGCCACCAGGTTCCTCCCAACCGCACTCTCCACTACCTGACCACCTCACGAATGACTGTCAAAGGGACTGAACCTGGGCCTCTTGCTCTCTTCTAGCTTTGCACCCTGGAACATCTAAGTCATCTTCTCTCCCTGCCTACGGCAGAACCACCCTGAGCCGGGTAAGGTCCCTGGGCCAGACATACAGACTGTGGGAGAAGTGTACATGTGGGTGCCTCTGAGAGACTGGGCCATTAGGGCATCCTGGGGAAGCAGGAGACCCTCAAAATGAAAGGGAAAGGTGAGGGGGTCCTCCCAGCTTCCTTCTGATACCTCCGTGTCCTTTCTAGCTACAGTCCACAGACTTCAGCCCATCGGAGAGTGAGACTGGAAGCTCAGGTGAGAAGCATGCCAGGGGAGCTGGGAAGAGGTTTAAACAGGTTCCCTGTACCATCTGTGTCTGTGATGTGGGCAGGGTTATGTGGCTGGAAGGCTGGGAGGCTGAGTTGGGAGAAGGTTTAGAGGCTTTCTGACTTGGGAGCTGCCTCTGAACATTGACTCTTCTCTTCTGCAGGCCTGCAGGTGAGTGCCTTCTGGAGGGGAACACATGGAGCACCAGAAGCCAGGGATAGGCCACTGGAAGTGGGGGTGGGAGGGCATGGGGCCACAGAGCTGCCTGGTGAAGACATAAGCCACCCAGGGTAAGGCTGGGAAGGTCTCCCTGCCCCACTCTGGCTCACTGCGGCTTTGGTCTCCCCAGAACGGAGAGGGCCAGAGGGGGAGGATGGACCGGGGGAACTCCCTGCCCTGTGTGCTGGAGCAGAAGGTGAGGGGCAGGGGGCAGAGCCAGGGGAGGTGGGCAGGGAACGAGCTGATGGGAGAATAAGGGCTAGAACCATCTCTCTCATGGGTGGGTGCTGGGAGAGAAGCCAGGGAGCTTGAATGCGCTGAGGGCCCTCCTGGAGTTCATGATGGGAGGGACATCAGGGAAACCGGGCAAGATGTATGGCAAAATGGCATGAGCCCCAGATGTTCCCTGCAGGCTGACAAGGGGGCTTTGTTGAAGAGTTGAGGAGATGACGCTGCCAAGAGAACTCTGTAACATTGCTTCTCTCCCCTAACCTCCAGATCTATCCCTATGAAATGCTCGTAGTGACCAATAAGGGGCGGACCAAGTTGCCTCCAGGTGTGGATCGGATGCGGCTTGAGGTATGTAGGGAGAAGGCACTGGATGGGTGTTATGAGGCTATCAGTGGGGCATTGTTCCCTGCCTGGTGAGGGAAGATGGGGAGCCTCTTTGTTTGAGTACCCCTTTAGCCAGTCAGCCCAACCCCCTGTCCCCCACTGTTCCTCTATTCCCAACCTAACCAAGAAACCAAACTTAGTGCCATCAAGTAGATTCCTACTCATAGCAACCCCCAGTTCTAGGGTAGTAAATCTTTACGGAAATAGATTGCAGGGCAGCTGGTGGGTTTGAACCACCAGCCTTCTGGTTAGCATTCAGATGCCTTAAGTACTGCACCACCAGAGCTCCTTTCTGTTCCCTAAGCTGCCTATTACATCCCTCTGTATATCTCCAATAGAGACATCTATCAGCCGAGGACTTCTCAAGGGTATTCTCCATGTCTCCCGAAGAGTTTGGCAAGCTGGCTCTGTGGAAGCGGAATGAACTCAAGAAAAAGGCCTCTCTCTTCTGATTGCCCCCTCCCTCTCCATGACCATCCCCTCCCCCTCCCGCTTCAGGGCTCTGGAGCTGGGGTCATGAGATCCCGAAGCATCCTCTTCGCCTGGTGGGCTGGGACCAGTCATCTCTTGGGGGAGTAGTAAGTGGGGCAGGGGTGGGATTGGCTCTATTCCCCAGGTAGATGGGGAGGCCAAGACCTCTGCAGTCCTGGGGTTGTAAAGCATGGACTTTCTTCCCCATAATGAGCCATCGTTCTGTCATCCCTGGTTCTCACTGCATAGGCAGCTCCTCTGGACTCTAGCACACAGAGGGTTAATGTTTGTACCCTCTCTCTGCCTCTCACCCCACACACGGGTCACCAGAAGAGGGTGAGGAGAAATCAAAGTAGGGGCTCAGTAGTCAGTGACACTGTCAGCTTTTGTGAACAGAGTGGGTATTGCCCTGGTGGAAGCTGGTGGGAGGCAGGAAGGAGCCAAGCAGGAGAACTCCAGGACCCTGTGTACACCCAAGCACTCTGCCATGCCTCACTTTGATAGCTTCCCCTGCACTTACAGACTCCTGCTTCTTTGGCTCTAGAAGGAGCAGGCTAGAGTGCTGACCTCCAGCAGGGAAGTCAGCCTTCCCTCTAGCTCTCCCGTTCTCAACTTGCAACCCTCAAGCTTTGAAGCCTCTTGCTCAGCTCTGTGGCTTCCCTAGAAGCCTTGGCTTAGAGTGGAGATGTCGCCTATATAAAACCTCAGCCCACCATCAGTCTCTAGGCAAATTCAGCTAGAATTCTATCTTCTAGCACCAGCCAGGTAATGGACTGAACCCTGGTCTTCTAGGCTCCCTTGGGAGGACCAAGAGGCCAGGCTACAAGGACCTTTCTGAGTGTCCTGGTTACCAAGCCCTGCCTATCACCATGCATCCCACACCATGCTCTCTAAAGAATGTAATTTATTGGGGCACCCCCAGCTGCTTTCCTCATCTAACTCTCTGTCCTACCTTAATCACACTCTCAGCTTTTCTTCTCTACAAATACATATGTGTATATAATTATATATATATATATATATTTTTTGCCCAGGTCTGGGTTTTGTTCCTGCCCAGACCTTGGCATCCCTTTCCACTGTGTGTGTGGTAATGCTGGGGGAGGGGGACTCTGCTTGGAATTAAAAGGTTGTGTTGGGTCCCCAAATCTATTGGTTCTTTATGAGGCACCAGACCTGGGTGAGAGGGCCAGGTAATGTCAGGCTGAGGGGAGTCATGGGAGTCAGTGTTCAAGTGCTGGAACAGAAGGACTGGAGCTGGTATGGAGATGGCACACACACTGATCTTCCCCACCCCAAGGCCACAAAAACAGACTTGTCTACACAGAGTCCTGTCTGCCTCCTTTCCTTCAGCAGTTCTGTGATGGCGGCAGCAGAGGAAGCGGCAGAAACCTTTGTGTGGGGGGCTGGAGGGAATGCACATTCTGAGAAAGGAGCCTGAGAGCCAGCTAGAAGGCAGTGTCTGCCCTTCACCAAGGGCAGACATCCTCATCTTGGCCGTCAAGCTCACCAACATCGGGCATGGTCACATTCCCTAAGGCCCAAGTTCAGTGGGAAGGCCACATACCCAGGAAAAGTCAACAAAAAATGTGAGTCTGTGGTGAACAGACTGCCAAGGATCAGACAGAGTAAACTAAGAAATGAAGAAATGAAGCAAAAAGTATACCAAGAGCCAGGGTCAAGTGGAGGCCAAGGGAGGCAGGTGGTGGGTTAGGTCTTGGTCAGCTTGGCAAGGTGTCAAAAGGGGAGTAAATATGTTGAAGGGGAGCTAAGGAGATGAAGATCTGATTGGAAGAGGAGGACTGAAGGTGTGGGTGCTAGAATGGTGGCTCTATCTAGCTGGAACAGAATATATGTGGGACAAATGAAGAGGCGTGTTGTCAGAGGGATCAGGTAAGTTGGAAGGGTGCACAAACTGTGAACCTAAGACTGGAGCTGGTACCTGATCCAAGTCTCCTGTTCCCGGCACAAGATTCTAGCTCCTTTGGCTGAAATAAAAACAAAGTGGATAAGAATCATCCAAATTGAAAACAATTATTTTAAATTTTAGGCATTCTGTTGCTTCTATTACACCGTCTTACCCTTTCAAAAACCTCTGAGGTTAATAGGACAAATACATTTGATCCTTTTAGCAAATGAGAATTGTAGAATAGAGAAATTTTATTTGAAGCTTGAGTAGAGAATGGAAACAAACATTGAAGTTTGTTGACTTCTGATTCAAGACTTTTCCAATACATACAGTTGCCTGTCAAGGAGAGACAGAAGAAGGCAGATTAGGAGGTGCAGAGAGAGAGAAGTATCTACACACATAGCCCACAGTAGGCATTCGGCTAAAAGTTGGAGGGCTTACCCTGTACCAGGCATTAGGGATACAGAATGACAAGGCAGGCATGTGCCCTGTCCACATGGAGCTTCCAGGCTGTTGGGGAAAATGTCACGTCAATGAGCACCAAGGAATACTGAAGGCAATGCTTGACCAGAGTTAACTGGGAAATGTTTGCCACAGCAGGGAGTGGAAAGGTGGGGAGAGCTGAAGAGTTGAATTAGGAGCAGATGTGATGCTTAATGCTAAGGGATTTTAGGTTGGTAACTTTAGAGCAATTCAAAGTGGAACTCTCCACTCCTAAAACAGACCCTTACAGGGTCTCTCAGTGCTTATTCCCTACAATACACACACACACACACACATACAAGCACATATAGACACACATACATGCACACATACATGCCAAAACCCTGGAGACTACTCAGTGGTTTCCAAGCATTTTTATTTAAAAATGAAAATCTTTCTTTTAGTCATTATATTTATAAGTTGAATTTTATAGTTAATTATTACAGAATCAATAAGAAAATGAAGTTTGATGAATAAAAAGTTTCAAGTTAGAGTTACATATGACAATTGCACTTATATAAGGCACAACATGAAACTGTGTTGGGTTGCATAGTATTTAGAATATCTTGATTGAAACAAAAATTGTGGTGGTTTAAAAACATGTGCATAACTTCTTTCACACTCCTACCTATTGAAAGGCAGGGTCATGCCTCCTTTCCTCAAATATGAAGGAGCCGTGGTAGCACTGTGGCTAAAGCACTGGGCTGCTAACAAAAAGATTGATGATTTGAACCCACCAGCTGCTCTGTGGGAGAAAGATGTGGCAGTCTGCTTCTGTAGAGATTTACAGCCCTGGAAACCCTATTGGGCAGTTCTACTATGTCCTAGAGAGTTGCTATGAGTCAAAATTGACTTGATGGAATTAGGCCTCAAATCTGGGCTTACTCATTGAAAACATCTTAACCTTATACTCTTCATTTAAACTGATAGGAGGAGAGGCTTTATTCAAAGGTCTTCCCCCAAATGATCTAATCTTGCAGCAGAATCTAATAATACATCAGTGGTTTCTAACACTCGTGGTATATAATATGTATGAGTGTGTATGCTGACTTTTATTAGGTTTTAAAGTAAAAGTTTACAAAGTCAAATAAAAGGTTATAAACTCCTGATGCATGTCCACTATACTCTAGAGTTCCTTGACACAGTTGGGAGAAAACTGGGTATTTTCAGCCAGACTGCTTTCTTTATCAATGAGGAAGTAGGCAAAGAAAAGTACAGTGGCTTTCCTGAGTTAACATGACTAGTCTGGAACTCAAATTTTCCAACTCCCTATCTAGGGTTCTTCATGACACATAAAACAAGTTGTTTCTTCCTTTTGTTCTTATTATGTATTGACCTAAAAGCTTCTCATTTCCCATAAGGCTCCTCACACAGGGGCCCATTTGCACCTGAACTGTTTCTGTTTTTCCCAAGCAGCTGGTAGAGAACTGTCTTAGTTCTCTAGTGCTGCTATATTAGAAATACCACAAGTGTATGGTTTCAACAAAGAGAAATTTATTCTCTTACAGTTTAGGAGGTTAGATGTCTGAACTCAGTATGTTGGCTCTAGGAGAAGAGTAGGCTAGAAGTCTGAGTTCAGAGTGTTGGCTTTAGGGGCTAGGCGGCCCCTCAACCCTGGGCTTCAGCTCTGCCTTCCAGCCCCACTGGAGCAAGCTGGAGGCTTCTCCTAACTCACACAGCTGCTGGCTGCTGAGGCTGACGAATCCAAGATCGGCAGGTAATATGGCAGATCATTGGCTTATGGGCTGCAAAGGTCAACAGTGCCAAGATTGTCAGGCAACATGGCAGACCACTATTTCAAGTCTAGGAACTGGAGATGAAGACTCATGAACCAAATGCAGGGTAATTTCCGTATATCTAGAAGCAGGCCATATCCCAATGGCAACTCCCCTTCAACTGACTGACTGCTCACAGCAGGTTCCACCATGAAAGAAATCACACTACATCCAGTCTCATCATGGGGAATAACTACATCCAGCTGCCAAGCCACTCAAAATCACACCCAAACCAAGGTGACATACAACCTCAACTACCACAAGAACTGAGATCCACATTCTAGCTCAGTGTGGGCTCAGGCAAACACCAGTACTTCCTAGGGCCCAAGGCCCAGACGTTGGCCTTCCTAGCTCTGACTCAATCTGGACTGCAGGCTCCACTCTACATCACACATTGGGCAGGCAAGTCATCGTTTCCTGGGCCTTAGGCCCACTGTGAAAGGAGCTGTTAAAGCTCTATTAGCCAAAAGGAAGGACCTGTCCTGTGAAGCTCCAAGACCAAGGCACTAGGATCTATAATTCTAGGACAGGGGCTATTCCTCTTTCCCTAGTGAGACTCTTAATGGTTTACACTCTCATCATAATCAGTGACTAGCGGAAATACATTTCAGACAGAAATCAGGCCTGTCATTAGTCAGAATCTCTTCTTTGCCTGGGATAGTGGGGGTAGTAGTGGTGGAATCCACATAAACTGGCAGAGTCAGCTGTTAGAAAGCTTGGTATGTAAGGCCCTCACTTTGCTTTGGAAGCCAGGATCCCTGATCTTGCTGAGGAATTGCCTATGAAATTCTGGTGCTCAATTTTCCAGGGTATGCTCCCATCCACAGGAGAATGACCAACCAACCTTCTTGGTGTGGCTGGAAGG